AGTCACTTAAAAAAATGAAAAATATTTCAAGTCAGAATTAAAATTACTGAAAGGAAAAATTAATGCGAAAATTTTGATCAAATCACATATAAGTGACAATTAATTTTTTAATTAATTAAAAATTTAAACGTCTGATTAATTAAAAATGTTACAAGTAATGTTGTTTTTCATATATTTTTTTTTTATTTCTAATCGAATTGTCTAATTTTTACAGACAATTAGTTCTTTTCAATTACAATGAAAAAAATTATTCCTTTCTCTAATTAAGTACAAAAATCATTGTTGGATTCATTTTAGTTACAAATGAATTTTTTTTTTTTTTTTGCTCATTTTGTCTATAAGTTCATTGTGATTTATCTTAATGAAACTTAAATTTATTTCAAACAAAAAAAAAAAAAAAAAAAGTAGAAAAAATACTGTTGAATAAAGTATGTTTAAATATTTGCCATCTTTCTATCCCTATGTCACCTTACTTTGTCATCTTTTTCTTACTTAACTTTACTTATTCATCTTTTTTTCAACTTTTCATTCTTTCCTTTTTTTTTCGAAAAAAAAAAAGAATTAAGATATAATAATAGGAAAAGCATTAATTAATTTCAATTTTTCTTTTAACAACATTCTCATTTATAAGTCTTTTTTGTTTTCTTTACATATTATTAATAATTTTGTTAAATATTATTAAAAACATTTTTTTTTTAAATTTATTTTATTGTAATTTCTAATTTATTAATATATTGTTGTTATGCTGTATTTCACTTTTTCACTTTTTTTTACCATTATTATTTGATAAGAAATGGAATTTTCTATACTTTAATTTTTATTTTATCAATAATATTTATTTTAATCTAAATATATTTTCCTGATAATCCATTCAACAATTCACAAAAAAGACCGGTTTTATGTTTTAAAAAAAAAAAACTGTTCAGTTAATTGAATGACTTTAGTGTGATTCACTGTTTATTTATTCATCAAATAAATACGTTTCCGGTAAAAAAAAAATAGAAAAACGATTAGAAAAAAATTTGAAACGTAAATAAATTTGCTAACAGTTAATTTTATTAACTGCTATTGCATTATCATAAAATTGAAATCAAATAATGAATTAATTAAAAGTACCTAAAATATGCAATTAAATCTTTGTAAGGTATTTTTTCCTTTCTTCTTTCAACTTTTAAATATTAAATCAAAAAAAGAAAAGTAAATAAGTAAATAAATGAGTATTTTATTTCTTTGATTTATCTATAAAAAATACAATCAATCAAAAATATGTTTAACAAATTTTGAGTTATCAAAAGAAAAAAATACAAACAAAAAAATAATTGTTGGAAAAATTTTTTTAAAAAACTAAAGAGCAAAAATATTAAAAAAAAAAAAACATGAATTTGTGAACTTAAAAAGTAGAAATTTAATCAATCAAAAATGGAACGAAAACAAAATAAAATATTTCGTTTATTTTAATTTAGCAAAATAAATTGCAAAATTAAATTCATTTCTTTTATTCAGAAGAAATTAAGAAAATAATTAGTAATTATTGCAAAAAAAAGTTGTAGAAAAAAAATAAATGGAAACAGTGCATTAGTTCATTTCCATTTTATATTTTTCTTTTTTTAAAACTTTCTCAAAATATCATATATTTTCTTCTACTTATCATTTTTTTTTTTCAAAACGAGTACTTTTCAACCTCATAAATTTTACTATTAGAATTTTAAATATATTTAATTCCTCAATTTTATAATATCAAAGTTTTAAATGAAAAAAAAGAGAATTTTAAATATATTTAATTCCTCAGTTTTATAATATCAAAGTTTTAAATAAAAAAAAAAAGATGGAAGAACAAAAGTAATTTAAATAATAATTGTTATTCATTTACAATTAAAGTAAATATGTATTAGATGGCATCTTCAATGCAAAAAAACAAAACAAAACATACATAACAATTTTTGAAGATAAAATTAAATTCCATTAAGTGATAAAATCATTAAAAGAAGAATGATAATTTGCATTTTATCAGAATATAATTACTTATATAATTGTATTTAACTATCAGTAAATTAATTGATATTACTAATTTTTAGCAAATTAATTGATATTAATAGCGTTTAATTAGTATTATTAATTATAATTGCAAGAGAATTATTAATAGATTAATTATTATCAAAAATTATCAGTAAATTAATTAGTGTCAGAATTTATCAGCGAAAATTAATTAATCATAGCAATTATACAATTTTCAATTTTCTTTTACAAAATGTTTAATAAAAAAGTGTTTAATCGAGTTTATCAATAATTTCATACATTTTATATTCTTTCTATGAGATTTTTTTGAATTTTTAACTTTTGTTTGATCAAAATTTCTATTTTTAATATTTTTAATTATTTTTTAATTTTTATTTTTCTCATTTGAAGAACAAATTTGAAAAAAGAGCTTACTTCCATTTTGTAAAACATTCATATTTTCCTGATCAATTTAGGAAAAACGGAATGTTTTTTTTTCGGAATTTAATTCTAATTCAGTTAATGAAAACGAAAACTGTGTGTACTTATTTATCTAAATGTAATAATGAAATCAAAATTTCTATTTTTCAGCTAATTTTATAAAAGAAAAAAAAATAAAAAGACATGAAAATAATAAAAAAACAAAAAAAAAAAAACAAATAAATAAAAAAGCATTCCAAAATACTTTTTTTCACTGATTTATAATTATTTGCAAATTTAATTAAAATATGAGTTAAATTTAAAATTATTTTTATTCTTTCCTTTTTTTAAGACATATTGTATATTCTTTATTAGTATCAATGTATTTCATTTTACCTATAAGAAAATTTTACTATTCATTAACATATTTCAGATATTAAATAAATTTGAGATTTAAATTTAAGCAATTAAAATCTCATTGCAGAAATCAAAAAAAAAATTCAAATTAATATTTAATTCAATTTTAAATTTTTTATTATTTTCAACATAAGTGCAAAATATTAGTTTAGTTCACATATTTCTTACAAAAAATTTTTGTTAGATTTCGCTTTTGTTTGATTTTATTTCAATTTGACAGCATTTTTTTTTTTTTTTACTTTTAAAATTTTGTGCTAAATTAATTTTAATGACCTTTCGATAAGTGAAATTTTGATGTAATTTTTCATATATTCTCTCAATTATTTTCAAATTATCTTACACAAACACTTCGCTTACTAAATTTTCTATTTGCTAAAAAAAAAAATTTTATTTTTTAAAATGTACTTTTAACATTTTCAAATCATTGATCATTGATCTATATTATTTAGGCCATTGATGAAATTGATTATATCGTAATTTCAAATTCAATTGCTATTTAAAATGAAATAATTTCAATTTCTATTCATTATGCAATTACTATTTACTATTAAGTATTACTTAGTTATATTTATTTTTGTATTTTTTAAGTAAAATATTACCGAATTAAAGTGAATATTCATATTTATGCAAATTATCATAAAAATAAATTTTTTTAAGTTCATTTAATTGATGAAAAAAGGAAAGAAAGCAATGATTGATTAATGTCATTTTTTTTTGATTAATTTTAGTAATTTCATTTTATTCTTCTTAAATCGTTTCAAATAGCTTTCATTATTTTAATTTGATTTGTTTTCAATATTTGTTTATATTCATTAAATTAAATAATTCAATTAATTTTGAAACTAAGCAGATTTAATTCATTTTTAAATTCAGTCCATAAAAATTGATTCATTAATTAAGTTTATAAAATCATTATAAAATAATGCATTTTACAATTGTAATGCAAAGATTGAAATATGCAAGAAAATCTATTATGTGCGGAATTTTTTGCAAAATTTCAACTTCCCAACTTTTCATTAACTAATTAGCAAATTGAAAATAATTTATTTAGTTGTAATTTAAATGATGAAAGATAAAAATAAACTTAAAAAGTTACATATTATTGAGAGAATTATCAGTGCTATTAATATCATTAATTAATTAATTAATTAATAAGACGGTAATTCATTGATTTCTAAATATGGCTTAAAAAAATGACATTTTAAAATAGAATTAAAAAATAAAAGAAAAATTAAAAAAAATAAATTAAAAAAAAAAAACTAAAAATATGATAAGTAATAGAATTTTGCAATCTTATTAATGAATACAAATATAATGCAATGATAAAAGTTAAGTTAAATTTTTTAAACTAAAATTCAAAATTTCACAGTGAATTTATTAATTTTGGTAGTACTTTCAATTACATAAAATATAATAGTAATAAATATTGATAAACTTTTCCAAATCTAATCAACTTTATTCACTTATAATTGATCGAAGATGAAAAAAATAAAATTTTTAATAAAAAATATTCCGTACGTTAATTTTTGAAAAATGAAAAAAATTCTTAATGTTTTAAAACTTTTGTCAATATTTTTTGCAAAAGAAATAATTAACTTTTGATTTATGAGGGTAATTTTATCGGACGAGTTTTTTTCCTCAAATTTTTTTAATTTTTTTAAAGTTAAAACTAAAAATGAAAATTGTCAAATTGTTCTGTTTTTTTTGCAAATTAAACTTTGACTTCAAATAATTAATTGAAGTAAATCATTTTATAATTGTACTAATTTATTGATAATCTATATTTCTGTTATTATTTAATTTATTTACATAATAAAGCTTAAAAATATTTTCCTATATTAAAACCTCAAAAGATTATTTAATTCGTTTTACAAAGAAAGTTCAAATTGCTATCAAATTTGCTAAATAATGATAGTATAATTTGAGTAATTCTAATAAATTTTTATCATTTTTTTTTTCATTGAGAAAAAAGTTTAATGTGTTAAAATTAAAATTCGTAATAAAATTATTTCAAACGACAATCATTTTAGATGTTTCATTTAAAATTAATGAAAATTAATTTAATATAGAATGCATTTTCTTTTCTTTTTTAGATTTCATCCAAAATGATTTCATTTAACAATCAGTTGATAAATTGGTTATCAAAGCAGATAAGCATTATCATATTTATGATAAGATTTGTTCAGCTACAACAAATGTTGTTACCTATTGATTGTAATCAAGCACCACCTGGTTTGTTATCATTATTTGTGATTAATTTCAAAAATTTTTTTCATCTACTTTTCTAATGTCCAAATCTTTATACATCATTTAAATTATATAATTAATGCAAAAATTTTTTATCTTATCAACGTTGGATGATATCAGCAAATATATTTAATGTTTGTACTATTATTTAACATAAAGTATTTATTCATATTGATTAGCACAAAATATGAAAAATTTAATTTAAGTAAGTGATAAATTAAATAAACGGAAAAAAAAAAAACATTGATATGTGATATTATCAGTATTACTTGAAAAACTATTATAGTTATTTGATAACAATAATATCATCAAATTGCTAAGTGATAATAAAATTTGAATAATTCTAACAAAATTTCATCATTTTTTTTTCATTAAGAAATATTAAATTTTAATTACAACTTTATATTATTAAAAAAAAAGCACTGATTTGAATGTTAATTAATAGAATTGGTGGAAATTTGTCATCAACTTCGTCAATTTGATGTAGCAGCAAGAGCAGCCATATCATTTGCCGCTCCGCAATCTCAACTAATCATGCCGCACACTGATCCGCTTTCGTCTGTGCCGCATCAGTCATCGCTTACTTCAACAGTTTATGATTGTTTGAATTTGCAATGCTTATGTCCATATTTTGGAGTAAATAATTTTTCTTCACTTATTTCAATTTTATTTTTAATAATTTGAAATAATTTTATATTTTTTTATCTAGTTTTTTACTAAAATTTTATAATTTTTTTAATTAACTTGAAATAATTTTTTATATTACTTTTAATAATTTAAAATAAAAGAAATAATAAATTAAAAATATGACATTTAATTTTGTAAATTTTTACCTAATATTCTTATCATAATTTTATATGAACTCCTAAACAACTTAAAATAGTTTTTAATAATTTTATAAGTTAAAATATTAAAAATTGGATTCTTTTCCGGCAAATTTCTAAAATATCATAAAATTAATTTCTTGTAAATTTAAAGTATCAGAGAAGAATCATTTTTTTGTTTAGGGTGGTTTATCACCGGACGGAAAATGTCATTTGCGTAATGGTCGAATACTGGAACGAGCAATCCGGAAAGAAATCCGAATGTTGAATAAGGATGAAAGAGAACGATTTTTTACTGCAATTCAACAACTTAAAGCTTCAGGAGAGTATAATCGCTTAGCAGATATACATCGACAGGTAATTTCATTCATTTTTCGGGTAAAATCTAAATCAGATAGGAAGTGAATAATATTATCATTTAAACTATTCCTTCTAATTTATGATAAAATATGGTTGAATCATGGAATAAGAATTAGAACAATCAGAAATTCAAATTCTAAACATAAAATTGTGAAGTAAAAAAAAAATTAAAACACTACAATTTTATGCCTAAAAGTCTTAAATGTCTAAAATTTTTTGTCTAAAAATTTTATGTCTAAAAGTCTAAAAACTAACAGATTTATTCTTACGCCATCAAACTAATTTAATAATTTTATATCGTTATTTCAAAAGTTGAAGGGAAGTTCAAAGATTATACTTATTGAATTAGATTTAACTAAATAAGAAAAAAATATAATACAAAAATAGTGTAATGTAGGAGTCATTTTTGATAATACAAAATTATATGTTAATAATAATATTACTTAAGTATTACTTATTATCTGTACAAAAGTAATATAACAATAAGTATTACTTAGGAAGCGTCAGAAAGTGGAGCGCATGCCGGGCCATCATTTTTGCTATGGCATCGAGAATTTATAAAAAGGTTTGAAATTGATGTCTAAGGTTTTTGCTGTTTGTTTGAAATTATTAACGACAGAAAAATGTCACATAAAAGTTTTTTTCAAATATTTAGACAAAAAGGAGTAAATTGTTCGAAAAAAATTTATTGGTCAATTTTGAAAGTAATATGATATTTTCAGAATTAATAAGAGTCAGCGAAAAAATGAAACTTTTTAAAATTGTGTTGAAAGTGAAAAAAAAAAAATATTTTAAATTACGCAATTACTACCAAAATCGATTGATAAAAATTTCCTTTTTTTAAAAAAGAAAGAACTTCACGAAGATATTTAAAACATTTTTTATGATTACAATGCAAATATTTTATATAAGCAAAAATGATTTTATCATTCTTTAATCATTCATTACAAATTATTTTCCTTCTAATTTTATTTCAAAATTAAATCGTAAATTTTCCTCTTTTTTTTCCTATACTTTAGAAATTTTAAATTAATAAATTTAATCATTTCATTTTTGTAGGATGGAAATTGCATTACGTTTGATTGATCCATCGATTGCATTACCGTACTGGGATTCATCCCTTGATCAGCATTTATCTGATCCACGTGATTCAGTCATGTGGAGTGAAATGTTAATGGGAGAAAGTAATTCAAATGGCGAAGTAATTAATGGGCCATTTGCTAGATTCATTACACTTGAAGGTCATCCAGCTATAACAAGGTTCAAAAAAAAGAAGAAAAAATTATTTGCATTTGAATATTTTCAGCAGATAATTCTAAAATGATTTAAATCTAATAATATCTTACAAAATTGTTTAATTTAGGAATCTTGGAGAAGAGGGACATTTGTTTACAGATGAAAATATTAATACAGTTTATGGTAAAGATACAATTGAAGGAATATTAGCGTATACAGCATCAACAAAAGGCAAGTTGTAATATAAAGAAATTGTTGACGGATGATGATGATCATGATAATGGTGATGGTGTGGGTGATGATGATGATGATGATAGTGGTAATGATGATGATAATGTGGTGATGGTGGTGGTATGATGATGATGATGATTGGTAAGTGATAATGGTGGTGATGATTGATGATGATAATGGTGATAGTGATGATAATGATGGTGATAGTGCGATGGTGGTGGTGATGATGATGGTAATCATGGTGGCGATGATAGAGATGATGACAATGATGCTGATGATGATAATGGTAATGATGATGCAATAACGATATTAATGCTGATTAATGATAGATAATAATAATGATGATGGTAATGATAATGTTAGTTGATTATTATTTAAATGATGATAAAAAAAAAAAAACGTGGGGGGAAGGATTAGAAAGAAAAAGGTAGGAGAGAGAAAGAAAACTGATAAAGATTTCCGTTTTATGAAACTTTTTTAACTTTAGCCAACAAATTCATCTACTCGTATTTTCATTTTCTTGAATTTATTTTAGCTTATCGTAATTTGAAAGAGTTTATTTTTCAGCATGTCCATATCCACCAAATTTCTCTGCCCTAGAATATTATCATGCTAGTGTTCATATCTGGATAGGTGGTGATATGAAGCCACCATTGACCTCTGCTAATGACCCCATCTTTTTTCTTCATCATTCATTTGTTGATTATATATTTGAAAATTGGCGACAAATGCATCAAAATCGAATACAGCGTGAACAAGTATGCATTCTATGATTTATGAAAACTCAAATTTTTTTTTTTGCTTATTTTTAATCAATAAATCTTTTCTCGTTTCGAATATTTAAGATAAAAACAATAAAAATTAATGAAACCTTTTGAGCAAAAAAAATAATTTGTTAGAGATAATTTTATGCTAGAATTTATTTCAAATTCTTGAGAAAAATAAAAGTGGTAAGGAAAAGGATAAATTCTTGTATTCTTGAAGAGAAGGATGAAAGAAGTGGTAAAGTTGGAATATTATTTTATTTAAAAAGTTGCTTCAAAGAATTTAAAAACAAATTTTGAATAATTTTGGATGGTCAATCAATATTGAGTATACAATCTGATTTTTATTGCAGTGTTTTTCATATTACTTGTCATCAAGGATATCTTTCAAAAATTTTCAAAATTTTTGTCTTTTTTGTCATTAATCTTTTCCGTTTTTAATTTTCGCTTTGCTTTTTTAAAGCAAATTTTACTTTTCATTTTTTTATTTTTTAAAAATTTCTATTTAAAAATTACAAAAAAGAGAAATAAAATAAAAGTAGCAATGATAATTATTGATTATTTAGGATTATCCCCAAGAGATCACAACTTGTTCAACTCCACGTCATTTTGCTAATGCAAATATGCGACCATTCAATTTAGTAAACAAACACGGTAAGCAAATTTGATTAACTTTTCCAATTTGCAAACTTTATGTAAAAAAAAAAAAAAAAAAAAAAAAACACAAGAGAGGATAAATTTAGTCTAAATTAATTAATTATAAAATATAATCATACAGGTTTATCAAATGCATATACGGATTACTTATATACTTATGCGCCACGGCCAAATTGTAGCGCTAATGAACCAACTTGCCAATCGCAATTCTTATTTTGTGATTTACGAAATGGTCCTGCACATTGTGTTTCAAAAATTAAACTTGGAAAACGATGTGAAAAATTTATTGGTGAAGATGCATGTTATATGGGAATTTGTTTAGATGGTTATTGCAAATTAAGGAATGCTACTTCGGTCAGTGAAAAAGATTTAAAAAAAAAAATTGAAATGAGATAATAAATAAATAAATAATCAAAAAGTTTGATCTATAAGTTTTTTTTTGAAATAAATAATTTTATAATTCTGTTTTATATATTTCTTAAAATATTATTTTTATTTCATTTAGATTTCATCAACAATTTCTACATCGCAATCATTTCAACATATCACTACATCTTTACACATCACTAAATCACCATTTCAACAACATACAAGTTTATCTGAAATGCAACAAATTAGAAATGCGTCAATTTCTGGTCAAAATCGTAACACTATTAAAGCAACAACAACAGTACGATTTAAAAATTAATTTAAATTTTCATTATTTAAATTAATTAAATTTAAATTTTTTCATTATTTAAATTTGTGGTGAAAAATAATTTAAAATTAATAATAATTAAATTACTAGGCAATGCAAACAGCATGTCTTAATGATGAACCATGCTGTAATTTATGGGCTAAAAATGGTGAATGTCCAAATAATGTCGAATATATGAGAATGCATTGTCGTCGAAGTTGTAATTATTGTCAAAGCACTGATAATAGACGAAATGGTAATTAGCAGCATTTTTCTTTTTTTTCTTGCAAATTTGATTAGTTGAACTGATTTGTTTTTAATCTAATTTCAAATTAATAATAAACAAAAAATTTGTTTCATTCTAAGTAAATTTTTTGATAAATAAATTGATGTGTTCAAAGTAATGCCAAAGAAATGGACTACAAATTTTTAAAATTTGATTTAAATTAAACAAATATTATTTAATGCTAATTATCATATATTTCTATTTCTGATAAATATTTTTCAGGTTGTTTCGATCGACATATTTCATGTTCTTATATGCGATTGCAAGGTGAGTGCAAACAAAGAACAAAATGGATGGCAGAAAATTGCCAAGCTAGCTGTGATTGGTGTAATATATCAGCTTATGATCTATGTATCCGAACAGCTTTAATTAATTAATTAATTAATTACATTCAAAACAAATTAGTTAAGGGTATTCGTTAATTATTCAAATTTTCGCTTAGACATTATTACTACTAGCTCAACATTTATTATTATTATTGTTATTGTTATTATTATTAATATTATAATTATTAATAGTATTAGTAGGTCACTTATTATCCTCGTCATATATCACATACAGCTTGTCAATCTTTCATTTAACATATCAAAATAACTTCTTTTAATTATAGAAGTATTTGTGATAGGTAAAGCGCGAATTTATAGAATATTTTTCAAATATACAGGAAAAAAGCTATGAATAATTCTTAGAATATTTAATTAGAGAACGATTAAATTCTTTTCTATCTTCATGAATCAAATTTCCAAGTTTTCGAATTATATGAAATACATTCTCATCTTTTATTTTCATTCAATATTATGTACATTAGCCTTATGTCTTCTTTCACTCTGTTTTAACCTTATTAATAAGTATTTTTTACATTCCTCATAATCTTTCGTTCACTTTGTAAATAAATATTCTTTATTCAATGCCTTTTCAATTTCCTTTTTCACCTCACTGCCAAATTTATTATTATCGTTGTATCTCTTTAGAATTAATAGCTTAGCGATAATTTAATTTGATGAAAAGAACAAATTAGAAAATTGTTATCGCGATAACACTGTCAGAATTATATTTCTCAGGTTCCTTAACTATGAATTTATAAAATGAAAAATAAATATGCCGGTTTCAATTTGATAGGCGAATCCCACCAACCAATTCACCACAATTTAATTGAAGCTACAGAACCATGAAACACCAATAATAATCCCACATCCGAAGCACTAACCATAGGCAGTCCAGACAAGTTAACCATCCTAAAACGAGAAATATCGAAACACTATGTGCTGAATTCGTCCTTCCTTTTACTGATTTGCTTACACCAAGCCTTTTCCTGAACTTATTTTCAAAACAATCACTTGCGTACTGTGTATGAAACACATATACATAATGAAAATGAATTTATTATAAAATATTCCCAAAAAAACAATACAGATAACATAAATTTATTTAGCTTTTCCAATAGCTTTTTCCTTCGGGTCTTGCATTACCAATGTTCGATGACATTTGCCACAGTAGTACCGATTTTGGTGGCTAGCCATGAAAACGCCTCCACCACATGAAGGCGAAGCGCACTCTTTTCGTAAACGGGTAATCTTACCATTTTCATCAACCTTGAATTCAAAGAGATAAAAAAAAAAAAAAAAATTCAGCAGGATAACAATACATTATGAAAGTCTATAGACATAAATAATCAACCATTTGATTTGAAACCATACACATTGTGTCAAGGTCATCCCTTTAACGAATAAACTGACCAAACTCATAATCACTTACTTTGTAGTATTTCAGGACGGCAAGCTTGACCTTCTTTCTCTTATGCTTGTTTTTCTTCGGCGTAGTATAAACCTTCTTCTTCCTTTTCTTGCCACCACCTCGCAATCTATTATTTTATTAGACAAAAAAAAACTTTTTTCATTACTTCAAAACAAACATTCGTGGCTCAGAGAGCTATACTTCATTCATCAAATCAGTGCACCAAAGCACAGTTAACATCACAACCACGAAGCAAATAAACTGACTATATCCGAATCAACAGAACAGCGCTTACCTCAAGACAAGGTGAAGTGTCGACTCCTTCTGGATATTATAATCAGAGAGCGTCCGACCATCCTCCAACTGTTTACCTGCTCGTTAGAAAAAATCAAAATATGAATAAAGCTGGTCCATCCTCATGTGCTATACTCAGGTATAACGCACTCCGGAGTCAGCAATTTCAAAGTTAAACAAACTGATAGAAAACTCAAAAAAAGGAAAAAAAAAACTCAGAAAAATCATGTGACTTGAAAGCCGTTTAATTACGAGGACACTTCGATTCAGAGGTGAATATTTTAAGTCACGATACTCTCATAGGCCAGGACACCTTTTAACACCAATATATCATCATGACCGAAGTACTGTCACGCAACGCCACATCAAAAATCCATTACAAATTTAGAATTTGGGTTTGTTGCAAATGAAAATAAAAAGTAACCTGCAAAAATAAGTCGTTGTTGATCAGGTGGAATACCCTCCTTATCTTGAATTTTAGCCTTTACATTCTCAATGGTATCGGACGATTCTACCTCAAGGGTAATCGTCTTTCCAGTTAACGTCTTCACGAATATCTGCATCTTGACGTGGTTATGGACCCTTAAAAGATATTCAGTTGTTTCAAAGTGAAAAATCTGGACTGCGAATTAAATGGAAATGTTACTGAAGCTTGACAACACCGTAAGATTCTATTATTAATAATGACCAAGTAATGTACTCAAAATCCATGGATTGAGTTCTACAGTCCATACTAGCTAACAATGATGTTTGGTAAAAGACGTGTGCGTACAGACGAGTCCCACGTAAGTTACGCGCGTACATACCACAGCATCCTTACCCAACCGACTAAAGGCACCAACCATACACCAAATAACGCCGAGTGAAGCAGGCAACCCACCCCCAATTATCCCTAAAAGTTGCAAGAAATAACATAGCCCTCGGCACATCGCGGCATGAAACATTAAATCCTATACAGTAGTATTTTGATATGTAGTGTATTTCTTGACATTTTCATTTGGTCGAGAGATGATTTCTTGGTACATTCTGACCTGGCCAGAATTTTCCACAAGGATTGAGGATGACTGCAGAAATAAATCGGATTAAAGAAAATCGGAAAAAACGAAAATATTTCATGTGCTTCAGATAAATCCGTATGAATGCCATTGAATATATATCGAATATTGGTTGATGGAGCATTGGTAATCACTATAAGTATTCTTCTGACTTATCATCGAAATATCAGCGATAAAAGTGTTCTCGAGGAGAAAGAAGCAGTTGTTGTGGTTGCAACGCTTAACAGGAATCAAAAGGATGAATTGCACACAATTGCTCGAAAGCTTGTGGAATCAGGAAAAGGCATTCTAGCGGCTGATGAGAGCATCGGTAAGAAATTGGCATCTTATTAAAGTTTTGATTGGCTATTGTACAATAAAGATTACACCAGTTCATCTCACATTCCTTTGCATTATATATGGTGTTAAGTCGTCCCACATTATTGGTTTAATGAGTGAAGATCTGAGGAATTTACACTAATATCCTTTTATCAGTAATTTTCATCAATAACCAAAATCCATCAGTAATTTCCAGATACGATAGGTAAACGGTTCGCTATGATTGGGATGGAAAATAATGTGAGAAACCGAAAAAATTACCGATATATGCTGTTCACAACACCAAATATATCACAGTATATTTCAGGAATAATACTACATGAAGAAACATTTAGTCAGGTAACTTATCAATTTATCAAAAAAATAGCGAATATGATAATGGATAGCAGTCTGTTATTAGAATAGTAAGAGATTTGCAGTTCTAATCTTACTGTTGTGAATTTATGCTCGCATGAATTGCGTGTACTCGTTAAAATTTAAAAGGTTAATTTATTCGGATACTGTTAAGCTGTAGAGGGAATAATATCCTTACTCCATAACATGTTCTAATTATTAGAGAGATGATGCTGGCAAACCTTTTGTGGACATCGTCAAGGAAGCCGGCATATTACCGGGAATTAAGCTTGACAAAGGTCTTGAACCGTTTGATGGAGGTTTAGAATACATCACAAGAGGTGAGTAAATTCTCATGTAATTGAAATGCTAATTTTTGAATTTCTATGTGCTTTTCTTATTTTTAAATGAATAAATCCAAGATCTAAACCTGAATATTTCGCGTGCAATGTTTTGTTACAGGTCTGGATGATTTGAAAGAAAGAGCTGAATATTTTAAAAAAGGTGGGTGTCAGTTTGCAAAATGGCGCTGTGTATATAAAATTTCCGACGTAACACCATCACGAAAAGTTCTGAAGGAAAATGCCAAGATACTGGCACAGTACGCAGTCTTAAGTCAGCAAGCAGGGCTGGTGCCAATAATCGAACCAGAGGTCCTATTGTTTTGAAATTCATTATGTGATTTTTATGAATCCAAACTGCTTGGCAGTTAAGTGATTAGTTCATGGTAATACAATATTTGATATTTTGATCATAATCAACAAAGATTCGAACTTGTTTTAGGTTCTTTCCGATGGTGCACATGATTTAGAAAAGGCTGAAAATGTTACAGAACAAGTCTTAGCAGAAGTTTATAAATCACTGCACGATCATGGCGTTTACCTCGAAGGTACTCTTCTGAAACCGAATATGGTCATACCAGGATCAAAATTCACAGGCAAGGTTGTTATCCAATTTTAGTAGTAGATATAGGTTTAAGATCTTTATTGAGTGACTAAAATATGGAAGGCGCTAACAAAGTATTAATTAGTTTCACATTACATTCAAATTCGCAGTGGTACGTCATAAAGCATTGTCTTGCAAAATGGCAGTAGCGATTTTAAGGTTGGACACGACAGAATAGCTAAAGAAACATTTCGAGCGCTAACAAGAACAGTGCCTGCAGCAGTGCCCGGTATTGTTTTCTTGTCTGGTGGTCAGCTGGAGAAAGATGCTACTAGGAATTTGAATGAAATTAATAAAATAGCAATCAACAAACCATGGAAACTTTCTTTTAGGTTTGCGTTATTTTATATTTCTAAACACACTATATTACTTATCTGCTTTTCAAAAATTCGAATCCCAATAGGTGGAAACTCTGAGAACATTATGGTTAGTAATAAAATGTGCTTTGCAGTTACGGCCGAGCTCTACAAACTTCAGCTTTAAAAGAGTTGACGATAAGTGGTTCGAAAGAGGCGCAAACAACATTTCGACATAGAGCAAAACTTAATGCTTTGGCTGTCGAAGGAAATTACATCGATGATCTTGAATGAGAAAAAATTTTTTTGGTTAAAAAGTTTAGACAGCTTGTAATATATATACATACATATATTCTTTTTTGCTGATTTCTGTTCTAAATTAAGCCAAAATGAAGTTGAAAT